AATGAAAACAAAACATAGATTTGTAGTACTTGCAGATTTTTGCTCTCAAAGCCTTATTCTCTAAGTCTTGCTGAGTCTCAGAAGTTGGGATATACAAAATATATTTCATGTAGTTTTCAAATATACATTTAGAATACAAAAGTGTATCCTTCACAAAATAGCATGTCCCAAAATTACTATAACTTATCCAGATTTCTAACTTTTCTATAAATAGATTTGAAAAATTTGTTAGTCATTCAGAGCAGTATCACAGTGATCACACACAGAGAAATTTCTATTGATTGCTCTTTTTGTTGGTTAAAAATATGTCCATGAGCCACGTACAGTTAATTAGCAAACAATCTTGATAGTCAGAGAAATGGGAAGGGCTTCTATGATGGGTTTGACAAATTTATTGATATCTCAACAAATCAAGAATGTAATAGTTTGTGCTTCTAATTTGCTGCAAACTGCCATTGCCTGTTTTTGAAGTTAGAAAATTCTGAAATGGAGAAATCAAAACTTAGACATGCCACAGAAAAACAAAGATTGATAATTTTCTAAATGTTTATTTTGGAAATTAAGAACTTAAAAACTTGTATAAAAAACTTCAATTATAAATTATGTTCATGCCAATTTTATTGCCATACATTAATAATAATGTTGTTTAATTAAATTTTGAATATAAATAGGGTTAAGGAAGTAATGAATAGAGAAACTAATGAATTAAAGTGTATTCAACATCATTTATGTTTTGTACTAATGGATATAATACATATTTTATGTTTTGTATTAATGGATATAATACATGTTTTATACTAATCGATTTAATACATATTTATGTTTTCTATTAATGGATATAATACATGTTTTATACTAATCGATTTAATACATATTTATGTTTTGTACTAATGGATATAATACATGTTTTATACTAATCAATTTAATACATATTTATGTTTTGTATTAATGGATATAATACATGTTTTATACTAATTGATTTAATACATATTTATGTTTTGTACTAATGGATATAATACATGTTTTATACTAATGGATTTTATTCATATTTTATGTTTTGTACTAATGGATATAATACATGTTTTATACTAATGGATTTTATTCATATTTTATGTTTTGTATATATAATTCTCACTTTCAATGTTCCTAAGAGTTTGATATATTGTGCGTTATGTCTCCTCTATAAATTATTGCAACCACCTACTGAGAATATAGCCTTATCATCATCTTTCAAAAAGATTATATGACAGCACGACATTGAATTATTTGGTGTAAACAATCTTAAACATTTTTCGTCATCAAAAAACAAACCAAAAAATAAAAGTCCTATGATATAAAAAATAAATCTATTTTTGTTTTATGACGTACCATATTTATTATCCTTAAACTTGAATGTTCTGTAGCAAACTTGAGGTTTACTGATGGATGTTTATTTGAAGTGTTCAATGAAATTAGAGAGCTAAGTTATTTAAATCCATTTAAAACAGAGTACAACAGTTTGAAGGTTTCACAATTTATTGATTTATTTGCTTCAAACTTGATCTTGTCTGTTGAAAATTAAAATATCTTTATTTTCATATTATGAGAATCAGATTTCAATATTAGTGTCTTACAACGTAAAACTGAGTTTCCCAAACTTTTCAATTGCATTTTTTGTAAATATTTTTGCAATAAAATTATTTATCAAGTTTTTCATCAGACATTATCCTGTAACAAAGTTTTTACTATCGAATTTCTTGTTTATCATACAGTTTTTCTTTGGTATCATTTCAATATCATCTTCAATATTACTGATACATTCATCTTTTTTTTTTGGTAAACTGAAGAAATCCTAAAGGTGTGTCTTGTGCACCAGTCCTCTGGTGAATCACTGAAACACACACATACTTCTCTCATCAGTAAAAATTTTTTTTCTTTTCCTTTTTTGTATACATATTATTATTGTTGGATTTTTCACAACTTTCTTTAGTAACTGTGCTAGTATAGGTGGTGCAGTATGATTGGTGGAGGGTAGTCCCATTATATGCACATTTTGAAATGGTGCTAAAATAAAGAGGTATAATAGACTAGTACACTCTTAGTAAAAAAATGTTTTAGCAATGCTTAGAGGGCAAGTCAAGATCGAGATAGCTTTGGGTGAGAGAGGCAAGTACCTATCGGAAATACATTTTCAGTGTAGGAAAATGTTAATTTTTGACACTACTGTCTATTTCTTTCTATAAAGGCCACACTGTATGAAGCAAATTCGTAGCTAATATTCCATATTTTAATAATATATAAGTCTTAAGTTTTTACATTTATAAGACAATATTTTAAAAAATCTTGAACTTTCCCTAGCGTGAAAAATGTGACAATTTTTTCTCTGGGCATCCCCTGCTCTCTAATTTATTCACCACTCCTCCAATAAGTACAAAATTTAACATAACCTACTTACTATAATATTGTCATCGCTAAAAAAAAACATAATTTTCCTAGCCTTCAATCTTGTTTGGTTGCAGAGCCATCAAATAGAAAATCAGACCCCTCTTTTCACACTTACTTGTCACATCCTTTCTTTCAGGATTTGTCAGTAGTTCTCTCTTACCTTTAATACTGTATTATTTTTAAGCAATAGAAAGCAAAGGTTTTCATCTATCAAATGACATATTACTTTGTTTTCTGTACAGAGAATTGTCAGTCTCTCTTTTAGTACAAGCTTCATTCCCATGGGAAAGATATCGACTAGCTTGTATGAATTTGTAACAGCTCTTGTCTTATAGTTAAAAAGCCAGAAAATTGTGATAGTTATGGGACATTGTCTGCTTTTTGCATCCCACTCCCTTAAATAGTTCAAAAATAGATGATTACTAACTTTACTTAATTAAATGAATGTAAATGATTTGACGAAGAAAGTCATGTGACGTTAACGTTGGTAATGGATTTTGGTAATAAATTATTATCGATGCAAAGAGCGAGCACGAAAAGTCAGTGGAAGATCTGTAGCAGTTATATTGTTGGTGTGTGAGGGTAAAACATCACCGTGTATTCCATCAGATTTTAACACGTTAATATGAATTGATTTGCCACTGTCAGTATATTACATTTTAGATAATAGTAACTTAGACACAATGGCAATAACGTTAATTAACTTTCGTTTTTAAGCTGTCAGTTTTCTTTTACTGTGTTTTAGATTTATTATGACATAGTATTTGCTATCTCAGTGGATTTCATGCATTTTCAAATTTCATCCAGCTTTCCATTGATACAACCTGAACTGCTGAAAAAATGGATTGTACCTATCGAGAAAGAGAGGTTGTATCCAACAAGGGTTTGTGCTCTGAACATTTTGAAGAAGAATTTTTTGATTTAACAGGTCAAAATGTTAGTCTCAGAGATAATACCTTTCCCACTGTATTTTCATTTCTTGAGCATGTGGAAAAATATATTATCATTGTAACTTACGATTATTGTTCTAATCGTTCAAACATATCTTTAGGTTGTTGAAAAGTGGATTAAGTGTTTATTGTGACAAAACTTCTGTGGATGTTTGGATTTTTTATTGCATAAAGTTTTTTAGTTGTTGAAGTCTTGCTAGACAAAGTTCGCTGTAACATGTAGTTCCCCAGTGGGACAGTGTTAAGTCTAAGGTGTTACAATGTTAAAATCTAAGATTTAATTCCCAACAGTGGATGCAACAGATAGCCCAACATGACTTTGTTCTAAAACAAACAAAACTATAACCGGTAAATGAAATAAATTGATATATTACGCATAGGCCTACAGTACTGTCAAGAAACTAATCAACAAAAAATTTAGTATATTTAAATTAAACACTGATAGTAATCTATTCTGTATCTGATTAAAAATATAACATCTCGATGAAATCACTGAGAACATATCTGAAATTTACTAAAGAGTCATGATATACCACTGCTATTTTTAAGATACATTTCTAGTTAAAATACAGTTGCTATGTGTGTGTCTCCACCAATTGCTATGATATGCTGAACCTAACATTTTTTTATACCTCTTTATAAGTCTTTAAAAGGGGCATTGTTTATTATCAGAAGAAAAAAACTGACTTGCAAAGCATTTCCTCCACTTTTGTTTATTTGTTGTTAGGCACAAAGCTACACAACATGCTATCTGTGTTGTGCCCCCTATGAGTATTAGAACCCAAAGGTTAGTGTTATGAGACTTCCAACTTATCTCAGAGCCACTGAGTGCCTCGATCCTTCACTTTTGTAGTTTTTTATCTTGATACTGCAGTTTTACTCCCCCCAAGGCCTACAATTTTGTAAGATGTACTTGCCCTACCACATCCATCTATTATTTGAGAGTGGGATCAAAGCATTAATGGGGCACCAGGCTTTACACACAAAGCATTAAATATATTACAAAAAGTGGAAAGAAAATGGAAAAGAAAGTACCTGTAAAGTTATCTGTGCTTTAATGGAAGATGTAATGGCCATAAGAAAACATGCATGTGCAGTGGAATAGAAAGAAATTTCTTCACTGTGTTGATGCAGGTAGAGACAATGAAACAACTCCTCTTGACAGTAATGTATTGGTGTTCATGGTTGTTTTTGCAAACAGCAACTTTATTATTAACCCGATCCCAGAAGTACTGCAATACTGGGCCAACCCGTGGCAGGGGTGGAGCAAGCTCCAAGCACCCCGCCGCCTTACAAGATACGGTTCCCATTGGGGACCATGATATTAAACTTATTTTATCAGCTTAATATCTTCTGTTCTTTACTACACTTTGATCTTAGCCAAAAGGCCGAGAAGCGATACCGATTAGTGCCTCGTAAGATATTTATATACCTTTTTTAACAGACTTCCTGTAATGGTGTGTAAAACGTTTACTCGCATTTTAGTCATATGATGGTCATATATCTCCACAGATACTTTTTTACTTTTAACTGCGATAATTTGACAAACGTTGTTCTTTTATTATTGTAAGAAATCGATATTTGGTAATCAAAATATTGTAGAAAATATTAACAGTACTTTCTCACTTTTTCATAGAGTTGACTTGAACAGCCTGTCCCCTAGCGGAGATAAACATAGTATATAGAGAATAATTAGCGAAAATCGTTTTTCATTTTGCATCTAAAACTTGATTTTGGTTTAAAGCCTATATTTCACTGTTGCCATGGTTTTGTGACAAAACTGGCGCTCAATAACTGCACAAGTTAAATAGCTTAACTAATGTTATAGATAGAGAAATGGTAAAATTTCGCTTCTCTCGTCCCTTATTAGTGCACTTAATCTGTCACTTACATTAATTACTACTTTCTCAACTGTTTCTTAATAATCTCTTCACAGTCTTGAAACATACTTTCCTGTACTTCATTTATCTATTAATACTTCTAGCCCTTTAGTGGAACAGCGGTATGTCTACGGACTTACAACGCTAGAAACCAGGTTTCGATACCCGTTGTGGGCAGAGCTCAAATATCTCATTGTTTAGCTCTATGCTTAACATCAAACAAATCATTACTTACAACAGCAAAAAAAGTTTTGGCATTACAAGTCCTGAAAGCTTGATCTTCACCACACTTTTTTACAGCTACTGTGACAGTCATTAGATTCATGGCCAACATCATCACATTGATTGTACAGAATTGCCTTACATTCTGAGGCGAAATGTCTGTAGCATTTACATCATGCACGTATTTTTTTCATTCTAGGGTAGTTAAATATTACCCTGAACTAACCAACTTGGAATATTTGGAACTGGTTTCGATATATTGATCCTTACACGTGGAACAATGGTACAGATATTTATTCCATGGTATATGTTAGATATACACGACTATTTCAGTTTGGGTGTTTTGATTTAGATAGTTTATATAGCGCTAGTGTTAAACTTAATTATTTTTAGAAAGGATTATTTATCGCAGGTGTGTTTATCTAACTCTTTTACGAATAATACCTTGTGTAGTTCAATAGTTACGAATTAAGATATTTTCTGTTGTTGTTGTTTGTTATTAAGCACAAAGGGCTAACTGTGCTCTGCCCACCACGGGTATAGAAACCCGGTTTCTAGCAGTACAAGTCCGCAGACATACCAATGTGCCACTGGGGGGCGCTATTTTCTGTTACATCACCAATGCTTTTGATAAAAAAAAACATCTTTAATGAATGGATACTAAATTAAGAAATCAACAAATATTTTTCCAGTTTTGTTGTATGTACATTTCATTTTATACTTTCACTACATAGACTAACAACAATATTATACTGTTGCGTCAGCGAGGTCACGTGACTAGTATCACGCCACTTCTTTCTCGAACCTTCGTGAATTGTCGGGAGATTACTAGATTGGGGGTAGGCTGGTATATATAAGATGGTCACAACGTGACAGGACAACAGAGGTATTGAGTAATTGAACTGCAGTCAGAGAGTGTGTAATTGAACAGAGTACT